ATGTAGCAATAAATATACCTTGAGACATGCTCTATCGGATGACATTAAAAATTTTGTTATGAAACTTAAGCAGTGTGTAAAATTAGTTAATGAAAAACTAGTATGACATTGCAACTACCTACTAAAAATTTAGATTTTCACAAAAGTAAATGACTGAACAAGGAAATTCAGTATATATTCTGAATCTGTTCACTGACCTCTATTCACTAGTAAATACCTTTTCAATCTGGTCTCTTAATCTTCGAAAAAATTTCGACAGTGATTTTCTAAACAGCTATTTATAGAAAGTTTAGAGCCAGGGACGTATAGCAAGCTTTCCAACAATCGTAGTTTTCGGGTCAAATCCACTTTCCTCGTAGAAACCAAGACGACATTCAGAATCAATCCATCAAACTGTGTTGAATGATAAATAATACAAAATATTTTTTAGCAAAAGCATTTTCTCGAAAATATCTGAGCAAGGGGTCTCGCAAATCTTTTTTCTCTTCAAGGTAATATTCTAACCACTAACAACGCATTATCGAGAAAGTAAATCACCTCATTAGAGATGATGAAATTCTGCCGCGCCCTACGAAAGAACACGCAACTATGGTAAAACAAGTACAATTTCAAGGTGAATCGGATGGCGGACTTCTTTTAATTTTATCTTCTTCTTCTTTCAGTCCATCGTTTTTCTAATGATAGTCCACGAAACTTTCTCTCTCTCTCTCTCTCCAACTTGTCTACTTTGCACTTAGCATAGATAAACTTTCGTGGGCTATCATTACAAAATTATGAACTTTTGCCGCGCCCTGCGAAATAACACGAAACTATGGTAATACAAGTAGAATTTCACGTTGAATCGGGGACAGCGGACTTCTTTTAATTCTACCGTAGTTTCTTCTCTAACGAGAACAATATGCTGCTTTCTCAATAAGAAGACAAGGTAGAATTAAAAGAAGTCCGCTGTCCGATCCAACGTAAAATTCTACCTGTATTACCATAGTTCCGTGTTCATTAGTAGGGCGTATGGACTTTTTCCACGTTTAACCATATCCGCCTTCGGATATTTTCACCATTTCTGCCGATCAAAATGTAGTTTTCACCATTAAAAGTGTAGAAAGTTGCCTCTATTCTCTAAGTATGTATAGTTCGAGTCAGATGCTTCGCTTTCAATTTTTCTCACATACAATTTGTTGCTAAATCAGTTTTTTCTCCATCATCTGCTCCAAACATTGGAGTGGATCGTGATATTTGTGCTGATGCCGTTCATACGCATGTTGGCATTTGGAGCACGCCACATATTTATCTGGCCGCAGAGGTCTTGATGACCCATTGATTCATTCTTCAGGATGTTTTTTGAACATCCTCTGTATTGTAATATTTGATATCCACAATTTTGTTCAAGGTTTTCTAATGCGTTGTATGAACTTATTTCTGTGAACCGGTCACTATGGATTCGACAATAGAACTTACTTTTTGAAAGGAGATTCATCAATAAAGGTAGCGCTTTTCGTTCCACATACGGATCACAACCGAATGGACAGACATTTTTTGTAGTCACCCATGTTTCCATACATTTTAAACAGAAAGAATTTTCACACTTCTTACAAGTAACCCGTTTCCAGAGAATATTTTGGCATATTGAGTGTAGGCACATATCTTGGTGTTCATTTGAATCAACGATACCATCGGTTAGAAGAGCTTCCTTATCACGTTCACTTGCAGCCATCTCAAAAACGCTTCGTTTGTGTATTGTAATACGCAAACCCTAACTTATGTATAATTCAAATTAGGGCTTGCGTGTTACAATGTATTACTGTAGATTACAATGAATGGTATACACCTTTTTTATTTTTCAAAGCGACTGCAGCATAGGGTTCAGAGAATTGATCTTTACAATAAAAGAGAAACAAAATTCACGTTTCGTTCATATACTTTTAAAACACTTTATGATTAAAAGTGTCTACGGCCTGTTACCTATTGCAAATAGTCTCATTCGATAGAGTACGACATTCTGCATCGAATATAAGCTTCAGAAAATGTTGTGTTTTTCTTATTGTTTCAAGACCTCAGTGATACGATCGTATCGCAACTGAAAAACAATAGATGCAAGAAAATAAAATTCGTAAAAGGTAATTATTTTATAGAAATATATACTTACGCTTTCTTTTCATTTATTTTTAATACCATTATTTCACTATTTTGTTTACATACAATTAATTTATCACTAGGTGCTTTCATCATCTCGGTTATATCTTTAATGTACAGTTTTTCTAATAACTTGCCATTTTCTACAGAGTAAGCAAATAAGAAAGATTTTTCTTTATCTATGACAAACAGAAGTTCACCATTATCATTGAAATATAACGAATGGCAATTCTGATTCTTTTTCAGTTGTATTTTTCCCTTCAATTTTTGTTCTAAATCATATAGTGTCAAATATTTTTTGTCCAAAGAGAATGTCACTAATCGTTTACCATTTTTATTAACTATATACAATGAACAAGATTCATCTAATCGACTTAATTCTTGTTGCTTGTTAATATTCAACAACCATAATTCTCGATTTTCATAGAACAACAAGAGGTAATTACCACATACTGATTGAATTTTATTTAAAATTTTCCATTGTTACTTATTTCCGGTAAGATAAGAGACATGTGTTTGCTTTAATTGACAATTGACTAAAGTTGAAGAATCATCCGATAAAACTCAGATGGACGATTTTAGCTTATTAAATGTAATTATGTGTGAATTACATTGAATATTTAATTCAATTAACTCTGTTAAATACAAATGTGCATCTACTTTAAAAAGAACTGATGTTGTACAATTCAGAATGTAATATTCATTTTCTAGTGAGAATAGTTTTATGTGATGATGTTTAATAGTGTTGAATCGATCAGTTGTAAATTGAAGTTTATTATCAGGTATAGAATAAATGTAAATGGATGATTCACAATCGAGGAGCATAAGCGAAAACGATGTAAATGAATAAGAAATAATGACATTTTGACAACTGATAGACATGATGAATGAAAGTTTTTGGGGCGCTGCATAAATTGTGAGATAACTGCAAATAAAATACATACATTGTAAATCAGTGAAATGTACGATACAAAAGTTTCACCTGTTCTTTATTTTTATTTAAAAAAAACTTTTTAATCTTTTTTACAGATGGAGGATTTTTTAGAAAATTTGGATCTTTAGTGACCTATAGTTCTTAAATTCTTGATGAAACTAAAATCAGTTTTGTTGGCTCATATGCAATGGCATATGTAGAAAGCAAAAATATCATTCAAGACAGACTGAATATGGAGAAGGCATCGAAAAATAGGATTGCGGGCGGTGGAAGATAAAATTGGGAACAATGAGTACGTAAATCCTTTATAAATAAGGTTCTCAGCAAACATACAGGATGGTTTTGGAAAATTAAAGACTACATTTCTAGATAGATCAGATAACAAGGAATCCGGTCTGCGCAAATTAATTTTGAGTTTAAAGTTCGTTATGATGGCCAAAAATGCATCTTAAAATAATTCGTTTTCACGTTTTTCATCATTTTAGAATGTGTATTGTGGACAACAAAACATTTCAAACTTTTTTAAATGAGGAATTTTCTTCTTTCTTATATCTAGTCTATTTCGTAAAAGTTTTAGCTGTATCGGTTCAGTCATTTCTGTGAAAAATGAATGTTAAATCCGCCTTGAAATGTTAACAATTAAGAAATGCACCGTCTAGCTTGGACCTCTTGCAGATGTTTTAAGATTTTTGTTTGAAATTACATATTCGTATACAGAATTGATTGCTCATTCGAAGGAGATAGGTCTCGATTTTTGTCACAAACTTCCATATAATGATGTATCAGTATCCAAAGAATTACTCGGATGCTTTATATTTCTCACATTTTGCCATATCAGCGTGTTGAATATGACGTGATGCACGAATAACATACTATTAGATAGCCAGTTCATTCCCCAAAGAACTGAGATATTATTCAGAACTCTACGACTTTGTTAAGGAAAGCCGTCAAAATTATGATGGAATCAAACATATGAAATAAATTATTGGGAGCAAACTAATCAATCATGTAACCCGCTTCTCTTTAATGTTTCTGTAGGAGGAGAAACATATTAAATGTTCCTTGTCTTCTCTATTTTATTCTTTTCTTTCGTAGTCAATTTATTTCGATGTTCTGAAATCTGGAAAATATCTCATTTGATAGAGAAGTAAACGGGCTATCCGATGATATGCTTAAAAAAATTTTCAACAGGTTTTGAAGAGAGCAGGTTTTCTAAAATACTCGACTGTTCAGTGATCTAGATCTCAGGAACGCGGAAATATAGAATGAGATAAGAGTTGATACATATGTTTTCATATGTACAGTGCTCGAAAATGCCACACGGAGCACCGTAAGAAGTAAGACACATAAAAATGATATCGGAGACCATAAGAAACAGTAAAACCTAAAAGTCCTTCTCAAAAGTGGCTCTCAGCAAACATCTTACAAAACTAAAGTTACGTGTTTAGATAGAATCGAGGAGGGAGGGACCGGTGCACATATTATTTTGGAAAAGTTCTCTAAAATGAGCATTTTGTTTCTTGTAGTCTCTAGTAAGTTATATATACTAAAACTTTCAGTTCCATGGGTTCAGCCATTTTTGAGAAAAATGAGCGTCCACTGCCCCTTCAATCTTGAAAGGTAGAACATGTTTGACCCGCCTCGAACCCTGTACCGATGTTTTATAATTTTTTAAATCACATATTTACACATAGAATTGAAGGTTCGATTGAGATAGATCTCGATTTGTGCAGCAAACTTTCATGTACAATACGGGACAATGCCAATGGAAATACACATTCATGGCTGACATTTTTACATTATACTCAGAACACATTCCTCTACAACAGATGTAAAAACGTGTTAAACCTGGGATACTTCACCGTCAATTGTGCATGACTCATTGAAAAACTCACCGTTAAGAAATTCACCTTTTTCCTGCAAAAAGTTGCCTAAACTATCCGCTGAACAAAGTTGCTAATCCAAATGGCATAATTCCGTACAATTTACAACGTAAAGCACGTTTGGTTATTTTACTCTTGTCATAAAGTTTCAAAGAATCTAGACCAAACGATGTGCGAACCACAATGTATGATGAGTTATTAAGCTAAATATACCGTGGATATGCAAACATTTGGATTCATTAACGCTAGGACATGTATACAGGCATTTCTTCTGAAGCTACATACTAACTTTGATAGAAAGTATCGACTTTTGTCTAACATACTTTTTTGTATCATCCAATGTAACAATATAATCATTTTCAATATGCAAATGTGAAATTTTATTTGTGGTATTTTTCAATATTTGAAGGCGAGATTTTCGTTTTTCTTTATATAATGATGAGTACATTAAGGTTAAACTTTTGTAATTCACCATTTATTAAACTAACATAAATGACACCACCGGTTTCAACTAAATAAAGATGCACGGATGTTTCTGCTTTCGTTTATTACTGATCAAATTTAGCTTACTTCCATAGAAGATTACATTTGTAATTGATTTATTTAAATCTAAATGTGATAACAAACAATAGTTATTTATAATGTCTGAATTAAATTCATCCTCCTGACATTTCCATTCATAAATATCAATTATGCCACCAAAGTCTTGTTCACCATTATTATTGTTCTAACAAAATAAATAATTGCATTTTTTACCTGAATAAAAGTTTGCTCTTACATCAGTATAATGTCCACGAATTTTTATATAATTAAATTGTTCAGCTGATTTTAGATGATTTTCAGTAGTACGATTACATAGACTATCACAGCTATGAATAATATAAACTGAATCACTGCCTAAAGCACCAACTAATGGTTCTCCGTTAACATACGATAGATGAATAAATTTTGTGCATGACTGAGATCGAAGATCTAACGTAGTTATCAAACTATTTTGAAATCTATCTGTAAAATCATATTCTATCTGATTTGGTTTCTTAAAAAGCAATTTTTTGCCATCTGACAGGATCAAAACTGGATCTGGAACTGGTTCACCGTAAGTATACTCACAAGAAGTCAAAGTATAATTTTAAGGAACCCGCTGTCGGATTCACCGAAAAATTTTGCACATAGCGCCCAATTTTTACTTAATTTGGTGCAGCGCGGCAAAAGTACATAATTTTCTAATGGGTGTGCAAAACGAATAAAACAGTTGTA